TGTTGCTTCAGGTGATAGTCTTGCGTGTGAGAGAAATATATATGTAGCAAATCAAGTGTCACTGCAGTAATCTTCACAAGTAATGTTCAGTGATATTAATTAAATTCACCACATTTGGCCATAACCCATCGTTTCCAGATTATGCCATCATTCTTAACAACAGAAAGAGCGTCCCCTAAACACAGAGTCATCTTTCTCTCTTCCCTCCTGTCCAACCGAGCAACCAGCCATGAATTAATTTGGTCTCTACATACTTGCTTATTCTAGGTATTTAGTGTAAGTGGGGTTATAAATGGGCGGCAGGGAGATGGTAATACACAAACAGCTTTTCTCCTGAAGCAGATGAGGAAATTAGACTCAGAGCGATTGCAGGAACTGCCGAAGGTCACAGAGCAATTTGGGAGGCGAATCAGCCCACCAAGCAGAACCCTTAGCTCCTCAAGCAAGACCTTTTTTTAAAAGAAATGATTCTTGTAGGACCCCAGAAGTGAACTGCTTTGACTATTGGTGTCTAAGTGAGAACAGAGTCTCCTGCTCACAGAGAAGGGCCAGAAGAGCTGGGATCAAAGGCTTCTTATGACTGGGACCCCATCTGTGGCCACGGTCCGTCTCCAAGAGCCATAGCGTCTCAATTTCATTCCAAGGAAACCCTAGAGGTGTCAGTGCTGAAACGCTCAGCCACATGGGTGCCTGGACAGCTGGTCCGCATGACCCTGCCCCCTGCAATATGCACTAAAAATAGACCTTCCTAGGGTGGTTTTAAGTGTTCTCAGGGCTGTTGGCAGAGAGAGGCATAAAGGGCTTCTCAAGGTCTAGTCAGCAGGGCCTAGTGGCTCAAGTCTGGCTCCTCTGCACCTGAGTGGTGGTGATACATGTCCGCCTCTGCCCCTGGCCAGGGAGTTCTGGTGGCTTGCTGCTGCTTTTAGGTGCTGCTGAGTTGGGTATCACTCATAGTGATCCCGTGAACAGATCTGAACCCTGTCCTATCCTGTGCCGCCCTCACAATCTCTGGCACTCTCAAGGCCACTGCAGCAGTCACTGTGTCAATCCACCTGGTCAAGGGTCTTCCTTTCTTTCGCTGACCCTCCACCTTCCCAAGCATGATGTTCCTCTCCAAGGATTAACCTCTCCTAGCAACATGCCCAATGTATGTGAGACAAAGCTTCATCATATTTGCCTCCAAGGAGCACTCTGGCTACACCTTCTCCAAGATGTATGGATCTGTTTGTTCTTTTGGTAGTACATGGGATCTTCAGCACTGTTCTTCAACATCATACTTCAAAGGCATCAATTCTTCTTCTGTCATCTTTAGTAACTGTCTAGCTCTCAGATGCATAGGAAGTGATTGAAAAGATGTGCCTGCAACAGGCACATCTTAGTCCTCAAACTGACATCATTACCCTTCAATAACCTGTAGGGGTCCCTGACTTCACACTTTCCCAGTGCAATATGCGTCCTGATCTCCTGACTGCTGGTATCAAGAGTACTGACTGTGTATGCAAGTAAAATGAAGTCACTGACAGTCTCAATCCTTACTCCATCCATCATATTGCCAATTGGTCCAGTGGCAAGGATGTTTTCTTTTAAATAAACAAATAAAATTTTATTTGAATTGTCATTTTAACGAACGTTTACAGAGACGTTAGATTTCCATTCACTCATTGTTGCACGTTTTACCCCCTCTCTGTCCCCAGTACACTTTAAAAAAAATTATTCATTCATTGTTGCACAATTTTGTTTTTTTGATGTTGAGATGCAATCCATATTGAAGGCAGCAGTGTTTAAGCTTCTGCAGCAGATGCTTCAAGTCATCCTGATTTTCAGTAAGCAAGTTGTGTCATCTGCATAATGAGTGTTATTGATGTGTCTTCCTTCAATCCTGATGCCATATTTTTCGTCATATGAGTCCAGCTTATTGAATAATTTGCTCAGTATATAGAATAAATAGTAATGGAAAAAAGATACAACCCTGATGCATTCCTGACTGATTTTAAACCACGTAATGTTCCCTTGCTCTGTCTGCACAATAGCTTCTCGGTCTAGGTATAGGCCTCTTATGAGCACAAACAAGTGTTCTGGAATTCCCCTTCATCTCAATGTTAGCCATAACTTGTTATGATCCACACAGTCAAATGCTTTTGCATAATCATTAAAGTGTAAATAGACATTCTTCTGGTATTCTTTGCTTTCAGACAAGATACATTTGACATCAGCCATGACATCTCGCATGCCATGGCCTCTTGTAAATCCAGCTTGAACGTCTGGCAGTTCTCTGTGTGCTGTTCTAGCCATTTTGAATAATACTTAGTATTTATATGCATGCTTTTTTATCAGCATTTTAATTAGTGAAGCACTTATCTGTCAGTCTGCTGTACTTGTGGATTGCTGTGACGCTGACAGCTGTGCCACTGGTGTGTTAAAAATGTCTGGTGGCTTAGTGGTAAGGAATTGTGCTGGTGAACCAAAGCCACACAGTTTGAAACCAACTGCTCTGTGGTAGAAAGATGAGCAATCTCCTCCCATGCAACTTACAGCTTCTAAAAACCTACTGGAGGGTCACTTATGGGTCCACTCTGACTCAATGGCACACAAAACCAACAACTGCCCCTACCAAGCTATCTGACCTTGGCCATGAAACTCACGCCTCCCTGTCTCTGAAAAACAAGGAAGAAAAATCCCCACCAGTGAGTGCAGCAGGGATCTTGGGAAGCCAACCCCAAAAGGTGGCACCTGCATAGGCACACTGTAGCATGCCTAACAAGTAAACTTAGGCTTACAGTAAACATGGGCTTACTAACTTGTAGCAAACAAGTTCCTATTTTCAACACATTAGAGAAGAGATTCTGCTTCTAGCTCTGACTGGCATCTCTCTCTCTCCCAACCCACCATATGGTCCTATAATAACAAAGCCTCTTTGCAAATTCTCAGTCCCCTGACAGGGCCTGAGTACTCAATAAACAAGATAAGTACATGCAAATTTCCTAGTCTGTACTGAGAGCAATTTCGCAGGTGAAGTAAAACTATTCACTATGTTTAAACTTAGATGTTACTGTGTGCTGTTAAATCAGAGGCGATCCATAGCTAACCCTCCAGCAGTTTTTCAGAGGCAGTAAATCTTATGGGAGAATACTGATCAACCTTCTCCCTTGGAGTAGCTTGTGGATTCAAACTCCATACTTCTGCATTGGTGGCACAATCCCTTACCACTAGGGAGGTTGGTGGCTTGTGGTAAGAATCTGCACTGCAATCCCAAAGACACGTGGTTCAAATGTGCCAGGTGCTCCATGGGAGACGGATGGGAGATCTCATCCCATGAGATTATTCCATCTGAAAACCCACTGGAGGGTCAGCTATGGGTCAGATCTGACTCGATGATCACAATAACAACAACAAGAAGAAACACAAATAGAGTTGTGGTAACTTGGTGCTTACCTGGTAACCAGTCTTTCAGGAGTCAGGTGAAAACGGGAGGGGAAACAAAGTTGCCCAGCAAAGGTTACATGGGGTTAGGGGAAGGGTATGGCAGGGTTCTGTTTGCAGGGACTAATAGCAACTATTTCTTGTTTACCACTTGTTACCCACTACTCTAGGCACTTGCCAGGTAATAACCCATTTCATCCTCAAACCAGCTTTTCTGAAGCTGGTACTATTAGCTCCAATTATTAAAACAGAAGTTTAGACTCAGGAATTAAGGACTCTGTCCAAGGCCACATGGCCAATGAGAGGAGAGAGGATTTGAACACACGAATCTGGTCTCAAGGCCATACTAAAGTGGGAGGAGACCTCGGAAGGGATTTTGAGGAATGAGCTGTAGATATTGGCACAGTCAGACCACAAGGGCAGGGCTCGGTCTCTTCACCTGGGGCTGGAATTGGAGAGATTCATTAAGAGCCCAGCCTTGGTGATAGACTGATTGGGAATGCTCCCTAAATCCTCCACGTCTAGCTTCGGGATGACACCTAAACCATTTACTCCTCTGAGCCTCAGTTACTGTGTCTGACTTCTTTATATACCATATAAGTGAAGTGTATATGTTGGTGTCTAACTAAGGTCTCATTTCACATTCCAGGGTGCAGAACTGGCCTGTGAATAGGTCTCAGTTTCCCTCACCAGATATTTCTCCCCCCACTCTTTCCAGCTTGGTTACAGTGGCTAGTTGAAGCTATAGTATGAAGTAAAGTGGCGAACCCAGGGGGAAGAAGACGGAGGTCACTTTAGTTGGGAAATGGTCAGTCCTTCCTCATCTGAAAAGCCTAGAAGAACCTGCTCCTGCAAAGGCTGATTCAACCCCTGCTTCCCTGACAATGGGGAGGTGGTGGTCCAGGTGACTGAGGTCCAGTGAATGTCTTGCCAGGGGATTGAGGGTCTCAAGAAGGGATGGAATTTCACTGAGGAGATGAGAAGAGGACGGTGTTCTGATATCCTGGGGGTTGGGGTGTGTGTGTGTGTGTGTGTGTGAGGCTTTGGGCATCGAGTGGAATAATGTGAGGGCTGAGTAGAAAGAATGAAGGAGGGCATCACGGTGGAACTGGAGTTTGATGGGGGATAAGAAGCAGAGGCTAAACTTGCATGGGAGCACAGCCAAGCAGGGACTGGCTTCCCAGGAGAGTGGTATGGTGGAGGGGGAGGAAAGGGGGAGGGGGAGGAGAGGGGGGAGGGGGATGTGGAAGTGGAGAGAAGATGGAGGGGGCAGGGGAAGGGGGAAAGGGAGGGAAGATAGAGGGGAGGGGGAATGGAGGAAAGGTGGAGGGAGAAGGGAGGGAAGATGGAGGGGGAGGGGAAGCGAGGGGAGATGGAAGGGGAAAGGGGAAGGAAGGGAAGGGGTAGTAGAGGAGAGGTGCCAAGGCGGAGAGGGGCGAAGAGGGACGGGGAGGGAAGGTGGGCTTCCGTAGGGTCGTGTCTTAGCAAGGGTCCTTCGCTTACGGTGAACTCGGGCGGGGGGCAACACAGAGTTTCAGCAAGGGGCGTGGGGGGGACGGCGGGCTGGCAGCAGGGCGCACCTGAAATCCTTGTCGCTGGATGTCATCTTCTCCAGGAGGCTGGAGATGTGGAAAGCGGCGGTGCTCATCGTGGCCGCCCGTGGGAGGCAATAATGGCGTTGCGGGCGCCGTGTAGACTGCGCTCGCTCACCGGCCAGAAATAGAGCCCCCGCTCCGCCCCGCCGCTCGGCGCCGGCACCGGCAGAGCGGGTGCGCCCTGGAGACGACACCTGGCGGCCCGAGAGCTCACAGCCTCCCGCCGCGCCGATCCCGGGGGCTCGGCCTCCTGGGCCACGTGAGGAGGACGGCCCTGGGGTGGCCGGGAAGCGGGCATGAGACACTTTCTCTACTTTTTCAGTTCACACCTCTCGAGACACCATAGCTGTAGGCTTAAAGCAAAACCCTGTCTTGCAGTTTTCTCTCTGGTTTGCTTTGGCCACGCTCCCGTCCCCTGAGTCTGTTTTCTCATCTATAGAAGCGCGCAGTAGACGTCGAGGAACCTGAAACTGCTTGCTATTTCCTTTAGGTCAGGTCAACCCGAAAGGGAGGACGATATGCCCCAGAGTCAGGCAGCATCTGGAGAGTGTATTCGAACACACTGACTAGTTTTCTTGAAACTACTCAAGTCTTCCCTTATGTGGACAACAGATCAAAGCCATGACCTCCCTGTTCTTCACCACCTTCACAGTCTCTGCCATGCTCAAACCCATCGTTGCAGTCACTGCACCAGTCCATTGTGTTGAGGATCTTTCTCTTTTGATGACCTTCAACTTTTCCAAGCATGACATCTTTCTCTAAGGACTGATTCCCGTCTGACAACATGCTGAAAGTAGATGAGACAAAGCGTCACTATTGTAAGGTGGCTGAGGAAGGTCAGAACCCACTTCAGGCCAAGAAAGACAGTTTATTGAGGAGAAACTGCCGGGATGGCTCTAAAGTAGAGACCAGCCGCTACTTAAACTTAGAGTGGATTTTTATATTGTCTTACAAGGAAATTGGGGAGTTACACCTGCTTAGTACAAGATAAGGGAGCAGGTCAGGTGTTGTGCATAGTTTCCTGGGAAAGGGAGGTGGAATAATTTGCAGTTCCAACAGATAAAGAGTTGCAGCTGCTGCTTTGATCTTACTGTGGCTGTTCTGGGGAGAGGGAGGGAGAGCAACTCTGTGGCCCTGACAACTATCCTTCTTCATCTTCCAAGACAGATTTGTTCTGTTCTCTTGGAGCTCAACATCACAATTTAAAGCCATCAGTTCTTTGGTCTTTCTTACTCATTGCCCAACTATCAAGATGTATACAAAGCAATGGAAAATACCATGGCTTGTTTCAGATGCACCTTAGTCTTTAAACTGACATCCTTACTCTTTAGCACTTTAAAGAAGTCCTTGACAGCAGGTTTGCCCCAAAGTCTTTCCATAGTTTAGTGCAATCTCAGGGAAAGTGTTCTGGAGGACCAGGAGGCTACTAATTTGGTGAAGATAGTGCTTTGGAGCAAGACAACCCTGGGTTCAAGTCCTTGGCAGGCTACTTTCTGGCTATATGACTTTGGAATCTGTCCAATATAGAAGTATGGAATATAGGTTAAATTGTGTCCTCTCAAAATACATAGTATTCCAAGTAATGATATAATTTGAAATCTGTGTAAATCTCCCTGTGATCTGATAAACCAGGTAGTTGTAAAAGGATCAAGGATGGAATGAAACTCCTCTTAATCCCACTCCAGCCCTGATCTGATATAAGGAGAGGTTCCTAGGACGTAGCCCGTAACTTTTTTCTTTTCTCTTGTCTCACAAGATAAAATGAACTGGGAGAAACGATGAAAGTTATACAAGTGTTCAGGTCTTTCGTTCATAGGGTTGCTATGTATCATCTATGACTCAATGGCACTTAACAACAACAACAACAGATAAAAAAATAGTTGTATGGGGACAAATTAAGAAGAGGGGGGACCTCAGTACCACCAAGAAAGAACCACTAGAAAAGGAACATGCCCTTTTGGGCTGCATTAGAAAGCTCTCAGCCCAAGGGAAGGCCAGGACAGGTGGCAGTCATCAGGTAACAAGGGTCCTACAGATGCTGATGGAAACAAGGATCGTCCTCAGGGAACGACTAGAACTTCTAGAGTCTCAGCTCTGGACTTGGACTTCCAGCCCCCTACGCTACAGATGTATTACATTGGAGAAATCTGTTGTCAAGGACCTCTCCAAAGTTTTAAAGAGCAAGGCATTAGTTTAAAGACTATGCCCAAGACTATGGATAGGTATGCTTGACCCAAGACTTAGCATTTCTAATTGCTTCCTAAGCACCTGAGGAAGACTTAAAGCAAATCAACACATTTTGTGGTGTTGGTTGCTGAAAGAATACAGAATATGCACCACAGATTATCAAAATAACTAACACTGACTAAAGAGTCAATAGAACAAGAAGACAGCACCTTAATTAATATCTAAACAAGCATTGTTACAGCTACAAATACACAAAATGCACTTAGCAGATTTGAAGGATTTAGACAGCACTGTAATAATTGGTAATAGATGCGGTTGAATCTGCTGTCTTCCCCCCTAATTTTACAGCCAATTATTAATTTATGATCATCTTCACGATCTCACCTGCCATCGTTTGGAACAAGTATTTAATCTTACTATTTATTTGAAAGGTCTTATCATAGTCTCACCACCTCAACCACATTACAAAATAAGGAAAAAATATTCCAAGATGGCTCTAAGTTATGTTACTATAACTAAGAGTGATTCTATAGTAATTGTCTCCTACAACCAACAATTGTGTTTGATTGCCATATACATTTTATTATGACATGCAAAATGGGTCCCGTTTTGAAACCTGGTTAACTATCTCTTTCACTAAGCAAGGTGGATAAAGCATGCCTTTGATGGTTTCCTCCAGGAGACTGGTTTTCAGAAACATACATCCTTCCACAGCAACCTGACATGTTTTGCACATCCACTGTTCCAGTGGACTGATGTATTTAATTTACTTTAATTTGTATTACAAATCAAACACAAATGGAGGAGCTTCTGCATATGTAGGCCCACATTGTACTTTAAGGCTCCATATTCTGTTTTCATAATTTGCCCTTAGTGGAATAAGCATCTCTGTCCACTCTGTAGGTGTCATATCTTCATCATTTTCAAGGCCCCAGCTAACTGCACTATTGCCTACCCCTTTTTGTCCCTCTTCAAGTTCCTCCAACAAATGAAAATTACAAGGAAGTTTTACTCCTGTGGAAACTATCATCTTTCCATTGAGTCTACTTGTGATGAAAGACCGAATGACTAGAAAGAAACTTAACAAAGATGCTGAAGAACTAAACGATACAATCAAACAACTTGACCTCATAGACATATACAGAAAATTATATATATACATACTCACACACACACACACACACATATACACATACCCAGAATATTCCATCCAACAAATCTCAATACACATTCTCCTCCATTGTACATGGAATATTCTCCAGAATTAACCTTATTATAGGTCCCAAAGCAAGTCTTGATAAATGAAAAACACTGAATTACGGCAAAGCATCTTCTAAGGCAACAGTGTCATACATTTAAAAATCAGTCAACACGAGGAAAAGGGGGAAAACTATGTATTTGAAAATGAATGACACCTTGCTTGATCACTATTAAATAATAGAAGATATAAAGAATGAAATTCAAAAGTGTTTTGAAATAAGTGAGAATGAAAACGTGACATACCCAAATCTCTGGGATATAGCAAAAGCAGTACTCAGAGGTCAATTTATAGAAATTAAAAACCCCTCCATATCAAAAAAGGAAGACAGGATTAAAACAAACTCCTCCAACATCTCCAACAAACAGAAAAAGAACAGCAGGCAAACTCTACAACCTCAAGAAGAAATGAAATACTAAAGATAAGAGCAGAAATAAATGACATGGGAAACAGAAAAATAATAGAAACTATCAACAGAATCAGAAGCTGATTCTCTGAAGTTATTAATAAAACCAACAAATCATTGGAAAAGAAAGAGCAGATGTAAATAATTCCAATATGAAATTAAGTGAATGGGTGATGCCATAACAAAACTAACTGAAATAAAAATGATAACAGAATACCATGAAGAGCTACACTCAAAAAAGAACAAAAAATCTAAAATAAATGGACAAATTCTTAGAAACTCTTACTCTACCCAAACTAACACAGACGTAAGTAGAAAACTCGAATAGACCTATCACAAAAGAAGAAATAAAGCAGGTAAAAAAACCAACATAACCAACCCAAACCCTCCCAACAACAACAACAAGCTTCAGCCTCTTTGGCTTCACCTTTGAATTCTACCAAACATTCAGATAACTGTTCCCAGTCCTATTACTTAAAAGTACTTCGGTACCTAGAAGAAGATGGAACACTCTCAGATTAATTCTATGAAGCAAGAAGCAATTGTTCAAACAGAACAAGAGAATACTGCATGATTAAAAATCAGTTCTAAAATTGTGTATACTGCACTGAAACAGATGAGGGAGTGAATAATTTAAAAGCGATGTATGATAGGGTATTATGGTTATCACAAGAGTCCACAATTAAGGTTGCATAGTGGAATGTACTGGGGTGGCGGGAGGGGTGCGGGGGGATTGTGTACCAGGGAGGGGGTGTTTCTTTTACTTTTGAAAGAGGAGCGAACTGGGGCGGGGTGGGGGGGGATGACTGGGCGGGGAGAGAAGTGCAGCAATGAATGAATGGAAATCCAAAATCTCTGTAAATGCTCATTAAAATTATTAAAAAAAAAGCTTAAGAAGAAAAAAAAATCAGTTCTAAAGAAAAGTGTACTTTAAGGTTATATCCTTTCTCAATAATTGAATTAAATCTGTATACTGAGTAAATAATTTGAGAAACTTGACTCTATGAAAGAGAATGTGGAATCAGGGTTGGAGGAAGCCTCATCAGCAACCTGTGGTATGCAGATGACAAAACCTTGGTTGCAGAAGGTAAAGAAGACTTGAATCACTTATTGAAGATCAAAGATAACAGCCTTCCATATGAGTTATATCTTAATATAAAAAAATGAAAATACTCATCACTGGATCAATAGGTAACACCACA